TAAATGGTTTGGTTTCATTTCTTCTGTTCAGGTCTGCCGTACAACGAGGAGCAGATCCACAAGTTTGACAAGTAAGTTCCGGTACTGTCAGCTATGTGGATGTCCTCCGTCAGGCTCCGCCTTCTTTCTGATGCCATGTTTTTGTTTCTCTCCTACAGACAGAAGTTGGTCCTTCACGCGAGTAAGGCCAGGACTCTGTTCACAGACGAGTGCGCAATGAAGTACCGTCTTTTCATCTCCAAGAGCGAGGAGTGGATGAGGTAATGACAGGCAAGCGGGCAGCTGGGTCGTGACCCGAGCTCCTCTCGGCTTGAGTGTTGACGTTTTGCTTTTTTTTGCTTTTTCAGGAAAGTTCATCATGTGAGGAAGCAGCTGCTAAACCTGTCCAGTCAGCTGATCAGCATCGAGAAGGAGGTGACCATGCTGATGGAGAGAGCCATCAAGGTAAACATTAAAGCGATTTCAGGTGCTGGGCGGCTGACGCACACGAAATCTGTCATCATAACTAAGCACATTTGTTTACGGCCAGTTTCCCAGAATGAAGTCTGGAAGTGACAGAAATACGTGTCTGTTTGTTTGTCTTCCAGCTGCAGGAACAGCTGCCACAGAAAGTTCTTCCTCTGGTGTCCAGTGGCATGAAGCCTCAGGCCTACCTGAGCCAGAACACGCTGGTGGAGATGACTCTGGGGTTTGTTTGTTTCCTCTCTATTGTCGCATCGTGTTGAGTTCCATCTGAAGCAGCCGTGAGTGCTGACTCAGTGCTTCTGTGTTTCAGGATGAAGAAGCTGAAGGAGGAGATGGAGGGAGTGGTCAAAGAGTTGGCAGAAAACAACCATTTCTTAGAGAGGTCAGACTTTTCTGTTTTTAATTTAAGACTACGGTAAATCAGCTGCAGGTTCTGTTTCTATTGTTTGATTTAAAATGTAAAAAGTACGCAGACCGCTCGGAAACAGACGCAGGTTCGATGTTTATGGTTCTGAATTTATTGACTGAATGTTTTCTCTAAACCAGGGATATCAAATTTATTTTACACCGTAGCCCACATACAGCCCAATCTGAGCCGAACCAGTGATATCTTAATATAAGATAAAGAAGTGCAGTGCAGACTGTCCTACAGTTATAAATCTGTCAGTTCTCAAAACAAAAAGACATTAAATTCCATTTAATGTCTTTTGTATTTGTTTATTTATTTTTATTGTGAACCCAATATAAAATCTGTAACTTTCTGTAATTTGTTTACCTGTTACTTATTTATTTCAATGTAGTATGAATGACCATTGAGGAGCTCCTCAACATCAGCAAAAGCTGTAAAACTAAAATAAAGTTAAAGTCCAAATTTTATGCCCTCCTTTGTATTTCCGAAGTCATGCAGTAGGCTAGTTGGAGTCTTTGGTCGGCCGATTCTGGCCCCAGGGCCTTATGCTTGACATAACTTTGATTTCTGTTTAATCAGCTCATGTAAAATTTAGACCTAAAAGATGCTTATGAGCGTGCCTCTGAATAATATGGACCAGTGCCAACTCCCTAACAAAACAATAAGGACAAAAAATGAGCTGATCAGTGACCCCTAAAATACAGTAAAGTTTATTCTAAAAGAATTTGATTTTTAAAATCAAGTTGTCACACTTAGTACTACCAGTAATACCAGTATTCTAATGGTCGTCAAACCACAAATTTATTGATACATACTGAAGTGTCAACACTCATGATTAGGGTCTTTTATGAGGGAAAAGTGAACATTATACAGATTATACATTATCCTCCTAAAGTTCCATTAAAATTAGATAATTATAATGTTAGTACATTTAATGAAGCAAATAAAAATGTTACCTTCAACTAAAACAGTTTCAAATGTGGCCAACTTATTTTTTTTCTGCATTTTAAAGTTCAGCAGGTTTCTACTTCATATTTTCAGAGCTGAAAAACACAAAAGTTCAGTTTAAAAACAGCAACCAAACCCACAGGAAGTACAGAGGTGGGGGTCATTTTGACCTGGATTTATGAACACTGACACTGAACACGTGAACACTTTCTTAGAAACAGAATAAAAATATTTTTGTTTGCCTGAGCCAGCTTCTGAAAACCTGCCTTCAGCTTCTTGTTTGACTTTCTTTTATTTTAACTTTAGTGTGATTATTTTGGCACAAATGTGACTCTGTCTGGCCTGTATCACCTCTGCAGGTTTGGCACTCTGACACTGGATGGGGGCCTGAGAGGATGAGTGGAGTCGAGTGTCGCTGCAGTTTGTACATATTCTGTGTGTTTACTGTGTAAATAACGTCGGACTGTTGAAGACAAAGCTTTTTGTATGAGTCTCTGGAAACTCTGGCTCAATTGCTTCAGTCGCTTTAAAAGAAAAAGATCGGAGAGGTTTTCAGCTAAGGATTGGCAAAGGAATGCAGAGCAGCTTCATCCAATCACATCGCAAAGAGACCCTGAAACACCTTTGAGTATTTAGGCGGACACAGCCGGGAACAACAGGTTTAGGGAGGGTTTATGTCACGTTTGGAGTCAAATACTTTCGGCTGCAGGTGTTATTGGAAATGATGAATGGATTAAAGATCACCACAGGTGTGTTTACGTTGTTCTGTAGTTTTTCACCTGAAGTGGAATATTTAAGAGAACAGTTTTAATGGATTAAATGTTAATGGTTTAATGGGTAAAAAAATAAATAAAACAAACGTTAACTTCAATGTCTAAAGAGTATTTACTGGACCTTTCAGCAACAGGCTCTGATTAATCTGATTTTACTCTGTAAAAACTTTAAAGCATGAGCAGAGTTTGAGATGCTTTGATATAGAAGTTTTAGGTTCTAATTAATATCAGGTAGAAAACATTTAAATCTCTGACTGATGATTCAGATGAAGCTGTTTCCTGCTCTTTGGGGCAAATTAGGCTAACATTATATAGAGTATATTATGGAGTATTTAATATTTTTCCAGCTGGATTAAGAAACATTTAAGGGTTTGAATCTGTGGAAAAATACAAAATGGCATTAAGTTTGCAATTAAAACAATTTTTAAAGTGTTAACTTCTGAAATGTTCAACTTGATCTGAGTTTTTTAGAGGATTGTGTATTAAATTAGTTTTTTTTTCCTTTGTTAAGTGTCATCAAATGTATTTATTTCCCTCTAAGTTGCATTAAAGTACTGTATTTATGGGGAAAGCTGGTGTCCTTTTAAAGGCACTGAATTTTATCGGACTGTGGATTGAACAGAATATTTCTGATTAATGATTATTTTTTTTCTCATATGTTAGTCTCTCTTTGTCATACCTCTATCCTTCAGCTGGTCGTCCTTTTCGCTATCTTTGTTTTATTTCTTGTCCATGATTAAAACGCCAAGTGACTGTTTAAATGACCTGTAAATACGCCATTCAATCAATCAATAAATAAACTGATCAGGCATGAAGCTGTGTCAGCGTGACCTGTTGAACAGTTTCAGATTAAAAGAGTTGTTTCACACAAACTGCTCCAAAAAAGTGTTCGAGGGCAACCTGATCACAGCTCACCAGACCTCCTTCATGTGGTGGATTCTGTTTATCATTAATGACTTTACAACCTTCAAAGTAAAGATACTAAAAACATGCTGCTCTGATCTCCACCCAACAGCAGGTTTTCAGTTATTAAATACAAGACTGAAGGCAGAGACCCACAAACACGCAGCAGCACGAGGTGGATGCAGTACAGGCCTGAAGAGGAGGAAACACGTGATGCCTATGGTTTCTAGACTTCAGGCAGATCCTGATTGCAGATATTAAAATGTGAGACTGTATAAATGTCTGCAATTCCTAGACAGTTAAAGCAACACTTGTTTTGAAGCCTAAACTAAAAGTGAAAGTTTACACCTCAAACACATCTCCATAGTTTAATTCAAAACCCACTGAGGTGGTGTACCGAAGCAAAGCTGCAAAAGAGCTGTCTTTATCCAGAAACACATAGTCCTCCCTGTAAGAATGAAGCTTAAAATAATAAAGAAATAATGTCAGTCCCTGTTAAACTTTCCAAGCTTTAAAACATTGTTTTAATTACAAAAGGATTATTAGTTATTATTTATTTTAAGCTTGTGCTAATGTTTTTGTTGAGTATTGCAGCATCGACAGCGATCAACTCGAAGGAAAATGACGACGGAGGCAAAAATGTCCTTAATATTTTGTGAACTTTATTCCTCATCAACACGCGGCAAAACTTTTCTCATGGGTGCCATTTTCGTTGTGGTATACTTTTTTTTCTTAGTGGCGTGATGACGCAGCATCCGTGCTCTTACAATGAAACAGTGCCTCCTTGTGGTGGCAACTAAAATACTGTCTCTGTTAAACCACAGTAACCATAATGCAGTTAAACACTGTACAACATGAATACACACAATGAATATCTTAACTCAGTTGTTCTCCTGGCTGAAGTTTGGTCCTTTACAGCATCCTGCCATGCGATTACATTTGTTCCTGACCACCGAGAACACTCACGTTAACTTTTATCGAGTGGAAAAAAGTTAGCTTGTTTATATTATGCTAACATAGCTGTGTCGCTAGCGGTCACGTAGCACATCATTATATACCAGCTAGCCAAACTTCAGTAACCCTACAAACATCACTGCTGTTTAGTTTTCTGTCTTCATTTATGTTGGAAGTGATAACAGAGCTGTACGTTTTAATTTGTTTCCAAAACCCCGCAGTCAGGACATGCTATATTGTATTTAGATAGAAGCTAGCGAGCTAACTTCCTGCTAACTTCTAACTCCATTAAATATCATAAATTCCGTTTTCATGGATGCCTGGATGTTAAACTCAATTGTTACACCTGGTAGAGCAGAACGCTGATCATTTTATTAAAGATGAAAGACTTTAGACAGTTTTTCAAGTCTCAGTAATGCCATAGTGATGTTTGATATATGGACCTGCAGCGGAGTTTAGGTCCAGACACGGCTAGTTTGTCAGACTTTACGACCGGATAAAGGGGCATCTCTGCAGTACACTGTATAACGTTCTTTTCACAAACCAAGATGGCCAGAACGAAGCAAACTGCCCGTAAATCCACCAGAGGAAAGGCTCCCTGGAAGCAGCTCGCCACCAAAGCTGCACGTAAGAGCGCGCCGGCCACTGGCGGTGTGAAGAAGCCTCACCGCTACAGGCCCGGTACCGTGGCTCTGAGGGAGATCCGCCGTTACCAGAAATCAACCGAGCTGCTCATCCGCAAGCTGCCCTTCCAGCACCTGGTCCGTGAGATCGCGCAGGACTTCAATACAGACTTGCGCTTCCAGATGGCACCTTTAGCATTTGCCTATACTGCCTATGCCACAGTCAGGCTCTGCTGTGTCCTTCGCATCCAGCTTTTCTAGCTATGACCAAAGAGGAATTTCCATCAAAGTTATCTTCAATCTGATTCCTAATTTGTTGGCTCTGTAGCCACCTTTCCCTTTCTATCTGCCTTTATATAATCCAACTATTGTAGTAAGTGCTGTGCATAAGATGGATGAGTTGTACAGGAAGTAGGTAGGAATGATTTCTTGTGGTGTTCAGAGGTGAATTTTGGTAATCTCAGTCTCTCACTAAACTCCTATGACTGGTCAGCACATGATGGAGTTGGTCAGAGGTATTGTGCAGCATTTTACTTATCTTAGACAAAAATCTGTGTTTACATTTTACATTTTTCAGTTGGCGGAAGAAAGCAGAATCCTCTTGAACGGCTGGAGGATTCCAAGCCCAAGAAAGTTGACCCCAGCGTGGGCGAGCTGATTGTGAAAACCGTGGCCGCTTCCAAGGAGCGCAGCGGTGTGTCCGCAGCTGCTCTCAAGAAGGCTCTGGGTGCCGGAGGCTACGATGTGTACAAGAACAAGGCCCGTGTCAAGACTGCCATCGAGAGCCTGGTGGCGAAGGGCACTCTGGTGCAGACCAAGGGCACCAGGGCCTCCAGATCCTTCAAGATGAACAAGAAGGCTACTGAAAGCAAAGCCAAGAAACCCGCAAAGAAAGCCGCTCCCAAAGCCAAGAAGCCCGCCGCGGCCAAAGCCAAGAAACCGGCAGCAGCTGCCAAAAAGCCCAAGAAGGCAGTAGCAGCCAAGAAGCCCGCAGACGCTAAGAAGTTGCCCAAGAAGGCCAAGAAGCCCGCAGCAGCGGCCACAGCAGCCACGAAGTAGTGAGCTGCCACCACTCTCACACAACAACGGCTCTTCTCAGAGCCACCACAGCAACACACAAGAGCCCCTTCCTCACACTCACCACCAGCGGCGGACTGGCCATCTGTGGATTCTGGAGAATCACAGAATGGCCGGTACTCCAGGAAGGCCGGCGGGCCAGCCCACCACTCTCCACGCATGCTTTCAACACCTACCGTATTTTCACGACCATAAGATGCACCGTACTAAAAGGCGCAGTCTCAGTTATGTGTGCCATTACTGTATTTAACACACACATGAGGCGCACCTGATTATAGGCCTCATACAAGTATGCGTGTTTAAAAATAAAACGGGAGCAAAACTGAGTTTGGTACTCACATTTTTATTACCGGTAATTGTCATCAATCAAACCCATCGAAGTCCTCATCCTCTGTGTCTGAATTGAACAGCTGTGCTAAATCTCCATTAAACATGCCAGGTTCACTTTCTTCACTGTCAGAGTCACTTTCAGTGCCGTGCGGCTCCTCGGAAATGATGCCGGCTTTTGCGAAAGCTCAAACAACAGTGCCAGCAGACATGTTAGTCCAAGCATCTACAATCCATTCGCAAATTGTGGCGTAAATCGCCCGGCGCTGCCTTCCACTCTTAGTGAAACTGTGGTCCCCATCGGTCATCCATCGCTCCCACGCCGCTCGCAGCCTTACTTTGAACGGGCGGTTCACACCGATGTCCAGCGGCTGGAGTTCCTTTGTCAGGCCTCCCGGAATGACAGCAAGCTCACAGTTCATTTGTTTCACTTGTTTTTTCACATTATGCGTGCCCATCTCACAGCCAGAGTCACAGATCAACAGCGATGGTGATGCGTGGAAAAAACCACCTGGTCTCCTTACATACACCTCCCTCAGCCAGTCTTTCATCATTTCCTCATCCATCCAGCCTTTTTCATTTGCCTTAATGATGATTCCTGCTGGAAACTTCTCTTTAGGCAAAGTCTTTCTCTTAAAAATCACCATAGGCGGCAGTTTCTGTCCATTAGCATGGCAGCCAAGCACAACAGTAAAAGAAGACTTTTCGTGCCCCGTTGTGCTTATCGCTACCGTGCTGGTCCCCTTCTTCTCCACAGTGTGACTCACCGGGATGTCGAAAGTGAACGGCACCTCGTCCATGTTAGTGATGTGGCTGGGCTGGATGTTTTTGTCGGCGATGTGTTTGCTGCAGTAGGAGCGGAAGATGGCCAGCTTTTCATTACCGGTATAATCCGCTGGAAGTTGCTGCGCTACCGTAGTCCTGGTCCGGATGGAAAAATGGCAGCGTTTCATGAAACGAAAGCACCAAGACGGGCCTCCTCGGAAATGTTCAATTTTCATTTCTTCTGCTAGCGAAACCGCTTTTAGTCGAATGGTGACCGTCGAAACGCTTCTCCCACTCGTTCTTTGCTCGATGATCCACCGCTCGAGTCTTTCCTCCAACTCGGGCCACCTCGCCTTATGTCCGCGGAAACTCAGCTGCGTTTTCTTGACCTGCCGGAGCTTGTTTTAGAGCTTCCTCCACTTGCGAACCATCGATTCATTAATCTTAAATTCTCTCGCGGCTGCTCGATTTCCATGTTCCTCCGCGTAGCTGATGGCCTTCAGTTTAAACTGTGCTTCATAAGTGTGTCTCTTTGCCATTTTCAGGGGTGTTAAAACAACGATGTTCCACGGTAACGATTGTCCGGTATATACGATCAACGCCCACACTTCACCCTTTAGCGTTCTCGTGGTGTTCTCTACTACGTCCTCCTTACAACACACAGGGCGCACTGCACTATAGGGCGCCCCGCACTTTTTAAAGAAAATCTAAGGCTTTTATGTGCGCCTTATAGTTGCGAAAATACGGTATTTTTTTCCCCACTGCACCTCTAAGTTGGATGCCAGCTGCATTGGCTGTGGCCGCCAGGCAAGGAGTAGAAGAAGTGGAGTAGGAGGCAAAGACGATGGAAAGAAACGATGCAAAACGCAGCTGCAAGTAAAAGAAAGGAAAGAAACTTGCAGTCTGAGTTAAAGTGTCTCAGTGGCCACGGCTTAAAATGTCTGCACTTGAAGAGTACAAGGTCAGGATGGTAGGGGTTGGCTGTGATGATGACGAAGAAGAGAACACAGATGTACTAAACAAACAGTGCAAATCTTGTAAGGAATGCCCAGTCTGTTGTTATCAGATTCTGAAACGATACAACCTCTTCACAGATGCTTATCATATTCTTGGCTGGGGATACAGGTACCTTCTTACTCTGCCTGTGACACAGGTAGCATGTAAGAGAAGTTTCTCTGTTCTCAAACACATAAAAAGTAGAATAAGAAGCACACAGTCACAAGAACACCTGGAAGCATTCATGCTTATGACTACAGAGAAAGACATCCTCATCTCCCTTGACAATGACTTGATCATAGACAGAGTTGCAGAAAAAACCGACCTCTTGAAGAAAATACGTATCCCCCAACATTGAGTAAGGTGAGTATTCAAGTTAACCTGCATACTAAAACCTCTTTACTTTATTTACCATAACTCATACAGTACTATGTGTTGTGTGTTTCCAATAACCATTTTGTATTGGTTCAGCCAGAGGGACTGCAGTATGTTGAGACCTCCATTACTATGTGAGTATTCAAGTTAATCTAGAATAATATACTTTTAATACAACATCTAGTCAACATCAGCACTGTTGCTATAATTTTGATGTTAACTCAATATTTACAACCATACCTTCATAGTACAAGACATCACACCACTTCTTGTTTTACTATGAGACACTATCATACAAGAAATACACCTTTAAAAGTTATCACCTACATTTTAAAATATTCTATTAAAAAACAACAAATATGACAGAAAATATTACATTTATAGATGCATGTTATTATCTATATATGAGATATGTTTCACTTATATTTTTATTTTTTGTAAGCCTACACTGGCTGTTTTAGTGGAAGTACAATGTATAGTTTATTGATACCTAGCCAATATAATCCACTTGAAATGCTTTACTCAACAACCTTACCTGACTAAATCTAGGCCAGCTGAATTGATATTCGGTGATTTTAAGGACACACATTTTACTCCAAGCTGAACCCAGACAGCTATTTATTTTACCATGTATTTATTTCATTACTAATTTCATAACCAATTTGATTCATGTACATTTGAACAAATTGAGTTCTGTAGGGTTAAGGATGCGAGGAAACCCATTATTTCAAAAATATAGTGTTGAGGTTTACTTCTTCTTGACCTCACCGATCCTTTTTATATCCCAGCTGAAGAAGAGTCCGCGGCTGCCCTGTGTCCCCCTCAGTAGTTTTCCACTAATTCTATTGTTGTGGGGGTTGTCCTCTCCCCAGGCTAGTAACTGTAACTCTCATTTTACAAAAGGCAGACCCCCACTGTCAATAAATTCTTTCCTCCATACAGAGACACGCCAAAGTTTATAGATAAACCTACTGATTTGGCACGTTAGAGGTCAGGGTTCAGCAACTCAATGTCCTTCTTGAGAGCTTTAAGGTCGCATGAAATGCTTCGAGCACACAAATCCACTATTGTCCTTAAAACAGGGGTTGACAAAGTCATTCTAACAAAATCAACACTTACGAATCATTTTCTGTTCCTCTGATCTCCAGCTGCCCCCTATTATCTAAGCAAACCTAAGTACATTGTATTGTAATCATTGTTTTATTGTACTCACAATAGACACAGACTTTGCAAAATGTCCCAAATTCAGCAGCAGTGCTGAACATGTTGCAAACAGCTCCACATTTTCCTCCCTCCTGCAGTTCCTGCAGCACCAAAGAACTCCACCTGTCCCGCTCCTCATCATGTTCTGCGTTATGATTTACTATTGCGTTTGTGTTTCCATGAGCTTAAAATCTGCTTTTATTATCAAGCGAGTGAACCATGATGCATGTTTACAGTCATAGTTAGGATATCACTAATGATTAGCTTCAAATTGACCTCAAATTATTAAGCTATAGGAGCACACTGAGGTTGAACAAGGCACAGGCCTTAATCACACAGTGAGAGACACTGCAAATTTCTTTTAGTTTGGGATGTAATGTTAAAATTTGAGCTTTAACTTTTTATTCTTGCCTGATGACAATAAAGCAAACTGACAGTTTCAATTAAAAATGTAGTTTTTAAGGTGCACTTGAGTCCCTTACTGTGAAAAATGGCATGAGTTAATATACATTTCAAAATAAATAAAGGTGCATGTCTGCTAAATTTCCAAGTACACAAGTTGTTAATAACGCATCAAGAAGGAGGTTTGCTCAGAGAGAAGTGTGTGGCTCTTAAAAGAGCCTTTGTTTTTTTTGTTGAAACAGAGCGCTTTGCGTTTACTTGGCCTTGGCGGGCTTCTCGGTCTTTTTGGGAAGTAGCACAGCCTGGATGTTGGGCAGCACGCCACCTTGAGCGATGGTGACTCCCCCCAGGAGCTTATTAAGCTCTTCGTCGTTGCGCACAGCCAGCTGCAGGTGACGTGGGATGATGCGAGTCTTCTTGTTGTCGCGGGCCGCGTTGCCAGCCAGCTCCAGGATCTCAGCGGTCAGGTACTCGAGTACAGCTGCCAGGTAAACGGGCGCACCGGCTCCCACACGCTCCGCATAGTTGCCTTTGCGCAGCAGTCTGTGGACACGACCCACGGGGAACTGAAGCCCGGCACGAGATGAACGAGTCTTGGCCTTAGCTCTGGCTTTGCCTCCAGTCTTTCCGCGTCCACTCATTTTGACAGGTTCCTCTCTTCGTAGTATCAACACTCAAAAGAAATGTGGCCTGATCGGCTCAAAGCCTCGCTTATATTCCCGCAGAGCGCGCGCAGCTTCGTCACGCACCAATCGCAGAGAGGCTTGCGGCAGCGCGCAATTTCAATGCACTTTTCTCCAATGAGCAGCACACACCGAGGCGGGGCGGTGCTCCTCTGAACGGTGCTGAGCACCACGTGGAGCCCCTCACCAATCACGAGCCGGAGCGGCACCGCGTCACAGCCAGGCACACACTTTAAGAGCAGCGAGTCTTCTGTTTGCTACAAAATCTGCTCGTATCACAGAAGAAGAAAAGTGAGAAACAATGGCAAGAACCAAGCAGACCGCTCGCAAGTCTACTGGCGGCAAAGCCCCCAGGAAGCAGCTCGCCACCAAGGCTGCCCGTAAGAGCGCCCCGGCCACCGGAGGCGTCAAGAAGCCTCACCGTTACAGGCCCGGTACCGTGGCTCTGCGCGAGATCCGCCGTTACCAGAAATCCACCGAGCTGCTCATCCGCAAGCTGCCCTTCCAGCGCCTGGTCCGCGAGATCGCTCAGGACTTCAAGACCGACTTACGCTTCCAGAGCTCTGCCGTTATGGCTCTGCAGGAGGCCAGTGAGGCTTACCTGGTCGGTCTCTTCGAGGACACAAACCTGTGCGCCATCCACGCCAAGCGGGTCACCATCATGCCCAAAGACATCCAGCTGGCTCGCCGCATCCGCGGAGAGAGAGCTTAAGCTACTCGCTCACCTACAAACAACGGCTCTTTTCAGAGCCACCTCCTTCCCACCAAGAGCTCGCTTCTTTCTTACTATTACATCAATATTATACTCACACTTTAATCTTCATGCTCTTTCTATACCAGAAACTACAGTCGGCATGAACGTGGAAATCACTGACTTCAGTTACAAAAATGAAGCTTTTTTTATTTTTGTATGATACCTGATTTATATGAAATATGGCTGACGTAAACTAAAGTCTAAAATTCTTAGTCATTTGTTTAATAGTAATTTGACATTATATAATTCACATATAAAACTATGAATTGTAATTTTAAATGGTTTAAAAGCATGTAGAACAGCATATGTAGGCAAGTATATTTCTCCTCTTTTTATCAAGAAGCAAAGACAAAAGCAGGGCAGGGTTCGGTGGTTGAATCATCCGTCCCCACCAATGCCAAACCTACACCCACGCCAGGATCGTCCCCGCTACCTGCAGCTGGCCATCCGCAACGACGAAGAGCTGAACTAGCTGCTGGGCTGAGTGACAATTGCTCAGGGTGGTGTGCTGCCCAACATCCAGGCCAAGAAGACTGAGAAAGCTAAATAAAATCCCGCGACTGTCCTCAACCAACTACACTTGCTTAAAGTAATTAAACTAAATCTTTAATCCATAGGTGTCAAACTCATATTCACACTAGAACTGAAGTGGGACAGCCCTGTTACGGTAGTCTCAGTGTGTGCAACACATTTAGCTGTTTTACTACATGAATAAAAATCTGACTGACTTAAATTGTAAAGTTATTAGACTTTTCTTTTTATAAACTTGCTGTAAAAACAGAAATCTGTGTAGTAAGAGCATAAACATTGTCTGTTCCTTAAAGTAGTTGCACTAAAACGTAAAAACAAGACAGCTGAGTAGATTAAAGAGGTTCAGACTTATAATAATAATTATAAATCACTACAAACTCTCATTTAGGTCTGAGATTCATTTAGACCATGCCTATTCAACTACAAAGTTAGTTGGGCCAGATTTTCAAACCGAGGAATTTATCTGGGCCAGATATTTTTTTTGAAGCCAGTAAGCAGCAGATCATGATCAATTTCAAACCCACACAACTGTACTGAAAAACAAGTATTTATTTTATTCCTTTTCCCCTATAAATCTGGTGGTGACCTCTGACAAATGCACACCAAAAAAAGGAGCTATAACTAAACTATTTTTTGCACATTTGAAATAATAATAATAACAAAAAACATTTTGATAATTCCCTTTAAAATTAAAGTAAATATTTCGCTGACCATTTTCCTGCCATGGATGGAGCCCCATCAGTCACAAGTATACAGACACGCTTCATATCCAGACCATTTTCCTCAAAAAGAGCTTAAATCTTCTCAAACATCATTTCGCCAGCTGTGTGTCCCTCTAACGGTAGTAAGCCGAGCAATTTCCCATCCAAAAAAACGGACATATACGCATAACTGTGCATTATCAGTTCTGTCAGTGATCTCCTGCTATAGATATTACATCAGTTTTCTTCAGGTCATCGAACAGCATTTCAAACTCGTCTGACGCCAGAACTTCAACTCTACGAATATTTGAACTGTCCTACAGGGGTACGTTTTTAATAGCAGATGTCACACTTACTTTTCACCGCATCCACCACGGCCAGCATGCAGTATTTCGCTGTTTCAGAATCTGTGAAAGGCCTTTTCTTCTTCGCCAAGAAGCAAACACGAAGGGAAGATGCTGCAGCTCTCTCTTGGGCTGTACAGGACCCTCACCATGGTAGTACAACTCCGGTTGTAAGATTATTAAACTCGGTAAAACGAATAAGTATTTGTCAGTCCGGGCAGGGTTAAACCGACAGTTTTCAATTTTGCGCTTTTGGAGTGAGAAAGACATGCTGTTGTCGCATCATATATTACGATGATTTTTTAATATGTTTACATCACGGTGCATTGTGGGTTAAATATTACTAGGCTACTAAGAGTGTTGCATTCACAGTCTACACTACGCTGTAGGAATTTTTAATTTTTTTAAAAATTAATTAATTTTTTGCGTTTTCTCTGTGTTTCTGCCAGGACCACAGGCAGGTTGCTTCTGGGCCGCATTTGGCCCGCGAGCCTCCATTTGAATAGGCTTGATTTAGACCGACAGCGAGCCACAGCTGTGTGCTACATGCAAACACACTTTGTGTGTGGTGTATTTTCTGTAATTCTGATCTGCTCCTTCAAAGGAGCTTTTTTAAAATGTTTTTAATTTATTTTTTTAACCTGGAAGCACGTCAATTGAACGTAGACAACCTGACAAAACTTCTTGATTGCGATGTGGGTCATTTCATCACAGATCATTTACAGTTCCCTTTGATACTTTGTTTGCAGTTTAAACAGACATGCTGCATTTCAAGTCCATAAAATCTGGGTACTAAAACATATCTTTGATAGTGTTCCTTGTATGAAGGTTATGTCAGGATTGTAGGCTGAGTAAGCCTGTGGAGAAAGAAAGATCACACATCAGAATTGTTACATTGATATGATTGGTGAAAATGATATTTCAGGCAGACATCAGGAAGAAGTTTCAAAAGCTTCTTAGAGCTCCATCCACTCATGTCCACCATGTACTAGACCAAAGGTGGGTTGGTTATCTTTAAAAAAAGAAAAAAAAAAGAAAAAAAACCCTATTAAATAAGCACTTCTGCTTTAAGCGAATTTCTGGCAAGAAGACATTTACAAATAAACCAAAAAAAAAAAAAAATTAGTGAAATCTATCGTTTGGTCTATGAGTGTTCACACTCCTGCTATAGGTGAGTTTTAATAAACAGTGGTATTGAATAGGTCTGTAACCTCTGAAGTTCAGTTTGTGGTTATGTCAGTTATTGTAATTTTGTGAAGAAAAGCACACATTAGAAACACCTTAATCTTATAGCCTATAGAAAGATTAAGTCACTAATATGTTGGGAATGTGAGTCGGTAATAGTTTGTTAAGTTACAACATACTATTGCTTCAGAAGTCAGTGGGGGATACTGGCAGGTAGTTACTAATATTTTCAGGACTTCCTTCCAAATTATGACAAACAACAAGATTGTAGAACAAAGCTCTTAAAGTGAAGTGTGTGGCTCTTAAAAGAGCCGTTGTGTTGTAGAGTCGAGCTGTGGATTTAACCTCCGAAACCATACAGAGTGCGACCCTGCCTCTTCAGAGCGTACACCACGTCCATGGCGGTCACAGTCTTCCTCTTCGCGTGCTCAGTGTAGGTAACAGCGTCACGGATCACGTTCTCGAGGAACACCTTGAGCACACCACGGGTCTCCTCGTAGATTAGACCGGAAATACGCTTCACACCGCCACGGCGGGCCAGACGGCGGATAGCAGGCTTGGTGATACCTTGGATGTTATCACGAAGAACTTTCCGGTGACGCTTAGCGCCTCCTTTCCCGAGTCCCTTTCCTCCTTTTCCGCGTCCACTCATTTTCTCGAAGCCGTGTAGAAACACTACTGGAGAACGAGCAGCCAGCCCCGTAATTTAAAGGCGACTTGCGGACGTGATTGAGAACAGCCAAGTATTGGCCCAACTTCAGCTTCTCACAGGCTAGTCGCATTTCCGGGTTGGGAAAGCAAACATCTGCTCTCGGTGCACTACGTCATTGAGTTACTGGTTGTGAATTGATTTAGACTGAAATTGGAGATAGCTACTCTGTTGTAACACTGGGAGCTGTGCTTAAACAGTTTATAGATGCTAGTGATGGGGTTTCTGGCTCTTTTTAGAGAACCGGCTCTTTCGGCTCGGCTCACTAAAAAGAGCCGGCTCTGAACCGCCTCTTCAGGTTGTTTTGTTGCTCTAATTTATTATTAACAACAATATACAATTATGCACAAAAGGAATTACTAATATAAAATACGTGGTTTTATTTATATGTGTTGATATATAAATATATGCTGTGGACCGAAGAGACAAAACAGTACAAACTCCAAAACACATTTCTAGCGTTAACTGAACTTCCAAAACAGAGCTACCGAGATCAATTAAATAACACAATTGAAAGCTCATCACATTCGAGTGCTTTGTGCTCGGCAACATGATAGACCCTGTGCTAAAACACAGCTCGCGATGAGGAGCCGGCTCGCGTCGTTCACGTCAAAGATCTGGCTCTAAGAGCGATTTCGTTCGCGACCGATGCAGCCAGCCAACTTGGTGAATCTGAGGTGATCATTTTGGAACAACAAAAAAAAAAAAAAAAAGAAGAAAAAAAAAGTGAAATTATTAAAATGGGAACGCTTTAGTTCCTGGTCTCGTCAGGTCATCCTGCACATTAAGCTATGCCTCTTTTGCTTATATTACACAGTGAAATGGCACACACTCTATACGACAACATTAATAATCAGTGTGTTATAGATTGTAATTCACATTGTAAATGTTAGCGCGGGGGTTGTGATTAGAGGATAACTCTTAAGTTGGTGTGGCTCTTAAAAGAGCCGTTTTATGAAATACTGGAGGTTTACTTCGCCTTCTCAGTTTTCTTAGGAAGAAGCACGGCCTGGATGTTGGGTAGCACACCACCCTGAGCGATAGTCACTCCACCCAACAGCTTATTCAGCTCTTCATCGTTACGGACAGCCAGCTGCAGATGACGGGGAATGATCCTGGTCTTCTTGTTGTCGCGGGCAGCGTTTCCTGCTAGTTCTAGAATCTCAGCGGTCAGATACTCGAGCACAGCCGCTAGATACACTGGTGCTCCAGCACCAACGCGCTCTGCGTAGTTCCCCTTCCTCAACAGCCTGTGAACACGACCTACAGGGAACTGAAGCCCGGCTCGTGAGGAGCGAGACTTTGCCTTAGCTCTCGCTTTGCCGCTTTTGCCACCACGTCCAGACATGTTTAAATCTTTTTCCGTTTGCCGAGGAGAAACAGGCTACTGTGTAGCAGCAGAGTCTCACTTTATATCGACGCCATCGGCCTCTTCCTGATCGCTCATTGGCCAGCTTGCGCTTCAGCGGGATGGTCCAATCAGAAACAAAAACGTAGTCCACTCTGTGACAAACAAGATCTCACGGAAATGTGAAACACAAAGGACTTCGAAAAATACACTAGGTTGTAAGATTATATTTACATTGTATACTCATACAATGCAAAAAGGATACGAAGACCAAGGTTATTACAATAAACTAGAGCCAAATAAAAACTGTTTGATACAGCACTGACAATAAACATTCGCACAAAAATTAGAAATAAATAAAAATAAGGATGATTTTTTTTTGGTTTTTTTCTGCCTGTGTATTTACATTAGGAGGCTTCAGTCCACATGTACATCAGCATTTTTTTTCTTTTTTTTTTGCTTTTACTTTGAAAAATAATCACATTAAAACACAAAAATGTCTTAAGGTTGATCGATATAAGATAATTGTAACTGAAGGACATTATGTTCAAAGGTTCTCCTGATCAGTGGTATTGTTAGTTCTGTTTCCTTCAGTGAATGATGAATTCCAACTCACCCCGGCGTATGTTGACCACTGAGGGTGAAGAAGCTGGATGAGCATCTCCAAGGGTGGAGCACCTCTCCAACAAGCTTAAGGGTGGAGCACACACTCTGGGTCATGGACAAATTGCTTCTCTAAGTGGAGGAGTTTAAGTGTCTTGGCATCTTCGGGTCTAGGGGGAGTTATTCTGGGTTTTTTTTGTGGTGAAGCAAGAGCTCAGTATGACTGGCTGATCTCTGTACCTGGGTCCAGCTTTGTGGACAACTTTGTACTTCTTTTTTGAAGTCCACTTGCAATCGTAGGATGGCCTCTGTGGCCCAGACCCATAAGTAAAAGAAAATGTATGGATGAATATTTTTATTTAATATGAACAAACCCCTGTAGGAATAACAATTATGATAAAAGTAAGAAAATGTTGTTACTTTTTTAATATTAACAAAGTCAATAGATACTTTGTGTTATTAAAATAAAAAATGAAAAGTTAGGGTAGCAAACATTCATAAATAATGTCTGTGTTCTTTGCAAGCTCCTTTGATGCATAAATAATCCACTGCAGAGCAGCCACATGTGCACTGTGAAGTTGATATTTCTGATTCAACTTCACATGGAGTGGAACAGAAGAGGAAGAGGAACATAAGAGTAATCCGGTTAAAGTGAACATAACAGAAGTTGAACTTTATCTTCTCTTAAAGAGAAGGCCCTGGTGTCTAACAGTAGAGTTGAGTGGAGTAGAACAGAGTAGAGTGATGGAGCCTTCCCAACATCCTCCTGATTGGCAGTGAGATGTCGGCCATCTTGGATTGTAGCGGGGAAGAAGGATTGATGCGGTGAGCTCCTTTTTTATTGCTTTAAAATCTTTTTTCGGGAGTTTCGGGTCTGAGGGTCCTTTAAATGAACCCGAGTTTGTGTGCTCGCTGCAAAGACCCAGCTGGTGAAGGGCGCAGTCGGGAACAGTACGGCTCTGAACGGCGCGGCCCGGTTTCGGTGCTTTTTGTTGTTGTTTTGGGGAACTAACAGCGGAGGCGCAGCAGGCCCAAACACGGACAAAAGCACACCTGCCCGCAGTTCTCCTCTCAGCCCCATTTTCTGTCCGTACAGCAGCGTCTATCCCGGTGTTACCGAGTCGTTAAACCGTAATTTAACGACCTCCGGGTTTCCAATTAGATGCTTTTCTACGTTCACATAAATGCAACAGCTAGCTTAGCTTCTATGCTAACAGCCCCATGTATTCCTATGACAGAAGCTGCTAGCCTGTGTGCGTTGCTCAGCTAGATAGCTGTAGCGTCTGACACATTTTTAACGCTAAAGAGATAACGCTTGCTGATAACTGCTGTTTCCTGGAGACCTGCAGTCAAATAGCAGCACACGGCGGGACAAGCCGGCTCATTTAGTTCTGTCAGGAAATTCTAATATTGGAGTTAACGCTAATCAGACACACTAGCAGCGCTAGCCTTAGCGCTCTAAGCTAACATTAGCCGTTTTTGCGACACTGCTGCGCCTTCAGCGCCGCTTAGAAACGAGACAGACAAGACAGGCAGACGACTGGGCTTCGGCTGCAGGGATAAAAGGAAAGTTTGTGAGGTTTTTAACTCGTTATAAAACCTCAGAACCGAGCAGGATCTCAGCTAGCCGTTGTTAGCTGGGATTGCACCTGCTTTAGGAGGCGTCGCTTATCTCTGTTAGCATCGCTTTGTGTTTTAGTGGAAGGTTTGACACATTATGGAGATTAGCTGGTGCTTTATGTTATGAGATGTGATGTTTTGATATTACTTTTGGCTAATGTGCAGTTTGTCCTCACAAACACACCAGTCTGGTTGTTGATCAGTGATTTAGTAGTGGAGGCTTTTACTGTAAAAAACAGAAACGTCCAGCAGACTTCTTTCACTCTGAAAGTTAAAAGAACTAAGCGTTCAGAGGCTTAAAGATGTGTAGTCGGTTGATTTTCTGTAGTTGTTAAACAGTGGAAGCTCTCCTCTGTCTTTGTAATTAAAACGTATTCTGGGAAGTATGAGGAGCTGTGGTGGGATACACACCTTTGTCAGTGTTTTAGTTTTGAGCCTTTTTGGTTTGGATGCTTTCAACCTAGGTTCATCTTTTAAAATGGGTCCAGCTTTGCAGATTTGTTTGTGGTGACAGTCTTAATTCAGATCAGAGTCTACAGCTGCAACTGCTTCACTCAAGACTCAACAACTCAATTTTTATTAGTGGTTTAGTCAGTTTCTTCTTTCCCTGCTCTCACTGTGAATAAAATCAGGAACCATCAACGCTTAAACTTGTACTAGTCCTTTTCTGCAGTGCTTTAGCTGCCCTGAAAGTTTCTGATCAAGTAAGATCACACCTCTGATATTTTGTTTATTCAAAACATTTTACATGCCACAGACATTAAAACCTTTGTGTTTTGACCAGGTGTTTCCCCAGATTAGGTGTGTTTTTGTCACATCTCCGTCTTTGTAACCTGATCTCTCTGTGCATGAATTTGAGAGGGGTGTGACCGGATGATATTACACTGTGCACTAGCACCTGTAATGTCACTTTCGGTGCATGCTGCTTAACCAGAACTTAGCATTTAGCCTAAAAGTGAGTTCACATCCTCATACAGAGTGAGACGAGAGAAGGAAATGGTATTAATCCAGTTTCTGATAACAGGTTACCCTGCCATAGATGCAGTAAAAGCCTCCCAAGCATCTGTGTCTTTTGAGCTTTCAGTTAAAGCAAATATTTAAAACCTGAAGAGAAATGCTGCTGATGTAGTAGCAGCTAAATGGCTCCAAACTGCTGATCAGGGATCAACTGATCTGTTTGGATCACACATCGGCCTCAGAAGCCTGGATCGGGTATCTCTCTCAGTTCAGCCTTATTCTCTGTTTACTTTGCTGCGAGGCAGCAGGTGAGCACAGCTATTACACACCTGCTGCACCAACATACTTTCTAAAAAAGGTCTTACTTTAACACTTAAACTGTTATCATGGCTGAAAATGTTCAGAGAAGCTGCTAAAACATGTTTTTAAGTTTGTATTTTTTTGCTCTGACAGTAACACAACATGTTGTTCACAGCATTAATATTGCCTCTCTGCGCCACACTGAGTGAGGAGGTCCACCACAGTGCGACTCAGAGGAGAAACAGTAAACATCAGCTCACAGACACATTTATATCAAGGAAACCTCACAGAGAGGAGTGTAGCTTATTGATTTTTCACTGCTGTCAGCACAACACACAGGGAAACCTGATCCAGATGTTGGAGTTGGGATCAGGCTGAAAAACATTAAAATGTTCAGTTATTTGTTTGTTTTTGGCAGAAAATGATAAGAAGTATCTTTAAAAACAAGCTTAAAACAATTACATAAAAATCTAAACGTGAGCAGTGCAGCTCAGCCTGTAAACCTGAGATTAAGCAGTGAGACTAAATATTATATGAATTTTGTTTTTCTTTTTAAAAATTGAATTTCAATTTTTTTTGTGTTTTGTGAGTCATGCAAAAGTCGTTCCTGAATGAGACTCTGAGCACGCTCAGAAGCAGGTTTCTGGTTTCAGAGCATGAAATGTTCCATGACAGTGAATGACTTCTGTCCAGGTATGACTGGTCTGACTGTTTCCCGTCGTCTTGTCTCCTAGGTGACACGCGGCATGTTTGGTGCTAACCGGAAGAAGTTTATGGAGGGAGGGATAGAGAGTGACTACCCGGACGACTCCAGTCTCTACTACAGCCAGCAGTCCATGTTCCCTCCTCACCGTGCGGACAAAGACGTGAGTCCTGCACGTTCAGCAATCATTACGGTTTATTAGGTCTGCTCGATTATGGCAAAAATGATAATCATGATTATTTTCACTGAAATTGAGATCTCGATTATTTGACGATATTTATTTAACAATAACAATGTATTGAATAATGACTTTAAAGATTGTCAAAAAAATATAAAATAGTGTGCAAATACTGATAACAGTGCAAATGTTTGCAATATAAAAAATAAATGAAAAATGTAAACATCTATGTTTAGTGAACTTTGCAGTGTTGCTCTGTGGTGCAGCTACGACACCGTAGCAAAGTTTACACACTATGTCTACTTGATCCACGTCTGACTCCGCGAACCCATAATGTTTCCACACCACTGAAGTTTTTTTTACCTCTCTTTTCAACCAACGGCAGTCACTCTCCTCTCCAAATAACTTCTGCTTAGCTTTCCCTCGGGTCCTCTTAATCAGTGGTCCCCAACCCCCGGGCCTCGGACCGGTACCGGTCCGTGAGTCATTTGGTACCGGGCCAAGAGAGTTGAGGCTCAGGTGTGAAATGTATAGTTTTCAGGGTTTTTATCGGTTTTCAGCGTTATTTTGTTATCGTTTACTCGGTTTTCCTTGGTCTTTTCACGTGTGTTATGAATAAATGTTCTTTTTTTTCGGTACCGGTACTAGTTTTATTTTGTTGTATTTATCCACGACACCTTAAAGGCCGGTCTATGAAAATATTGTCGGGCATAAACCGGTCCGTGGCGCAAAAAAGGTTGGGGACCGCTGCTCTTGTGACACGTGTTCGAAATGCAGAGAGGTCCGCTCGATTTGCCACACAGAGCAGCGCGAGAGTAAAGCACGAGGGAGGGGCTAATAATCGGCTCAGTCATTTTTAATGATCGTTGAAAGCCCAGATCGTAATCGAGATTAAAATTTGATTAATTGAGCAGCCCTACGGTTTATAATTATTGTCAAAAACTGCATTTGAGGGTTTGGACATGCTCAGCCAGTCAAGAAACTTCAGAG